GAAATGCTGATGGCAACATATGCACAAGTGTGCTTAACACAATTGAATGATGGATTGTTATAAGATTTTTAAGAGGTCCCCCAATAAAATGGTTAATTAAAGAAAAAACCCAGTTTGTTTAGCGGAGTTTCCAAGTCAGATCCTTCTGGTGTGGCCTCTGAAGGATGTTGTGCACCTGAAAAGGGCGGAGTCTAAGATCTCAGTTGTCTGTAGCACACAACATGGGTCACCGAGGCCTGAATGAAAACAAGATCAAATGTGCCTAATTAAAAAAAAGCGTCCAATGAGGAATACAATATGGGGCATATTCTCCCCTTGAGGGTCTATCTAAGTAAAGTTAACCCTTTCTCTCCCAATGTTGACCTTGTGGTTCACAGCCCAGCTCATACCCACAATGACATCTACTTTCCCTTTAAGGTGTTGAATCAGTTCTATCATGGCCCACAAAGTAAAGCAGGAACAGATAAACTGGAATTTCTACAGTTTTGATGATATGTCACCGTAACCAGACAGGTAAAACGACAGCTTGAAGCCCTGGAATGGGAGGCTGAGAAATGAGCCCTTTCAGGAAGCCTGTTGAGTGAGGCAGGATTATTGACCGGGAGAGTCATACACTCTGAAAGCAACATGGTCAGTGTGGTGGATATATAATCGTTTGTCAATTTGAGAATTAAGAGTGCAGGGCTGGAGTCTAGCTTGTCAATCAGATCATAGTCAACGAGGCCTCCATGCGGGCATGGCCTTCTCCTGAGAATTCTGGGAAATCTGGTACTTCCTCCTTGGAAGTGAGAGACACTTCTCTCTGACACTCCTGGGAGACATTGGAGAAGACAAGCCACATGGACCCAACCAGACCTCGGAAGCCGGAGAAGCCACAGAGAGACCCCTGCCAGCACTGAGATGCTTACAACGCCACTGGACCCAAAGACTTTCTACCCACTGGCTTGTGATCGTCCTGCATTTAGCTTCATTGCATGCGTTTCGTGAGTCTGAAGAGGACTTTATAGATTGGTATTGGACATAAGGGCTAATATCAGACTTATGGCCTTGGACTGGACTGGGTTGGGATGTTTTCTCAATGTTCAATTCCTCTTGCATATAAATCTCTTTCTTATACACATATGTGTGTCCATGGATTTTTTTTCTCTAGTCTACCCAGACTGACACAGTCAGCCACCATGGCTGAATGGGGGACCACCATCTTTGACCTTCCTTGGCTGGTACTGAACTGGGAAGAAGTGGTTTGAAGTCCTGCTCTGAAAGGACTGACCCAACCCCCTACTTGTAGCAAATTCATCACATTCATCTTCACTTGCTGTATGTGCAGCTTTTGAATCATTGAAAAGACTGTGGGCCTTTTCTTGCACTACCAACAGCTGCCCTCACCACCACCCCAAACTCCCCAAAATACTGCCATCATGTTGATTCTGATTGATAGTGACCCTGTACAGGTTCTGAAGAAGGCAAATCTTGATAGGAACAGAAAGCTTCATCATTTTCCTGTGGAGCAGCTGGTGGGTTCAAACGACTGTCCTTACAGTTAGTAGGCCAACATCTAACTCCCTAAGGCTACATGAGAACTGAAAGGACCTATCCCAACTGACCTACAAATTCTGAAGCCACAGGAGTAGCTCTTGTTCCTAACCCACGGTCTAAGTACGGGTAATATACTGAACCCAGGTGTTCACCAAAAGTGAGTTTCCTTCCTTTTCAAGAGAATGTTTCTTCCAGTACTGTACAGACTGCAGTTTCTTAGAGGCCACCTGGAAGGGAGCTTAGACCAAGGCCTAGACTCTGTGGCCTGTGCTTGAGTGTTCTCCATTTTCAGTAACAGAGCCCAGAGAAGACAGCGAGAGGACAACTCTCCGAAGGCCGGAGTATCTGAGCCCTTTTGCTACCAATCACAGCCTATCACAAGATGACAAGCTGAGAGGGGGCGGCTAAGACCGGATTTGTCTTTATGGCTGGGGCAAACTTCCTCAAATCTGATCAGAGATTTTGTTTCAAAAGTTCACACCACACACACACACACACACACACACACGAAGTTCACCACATCCTCCCCCACCCACAATTTTTTAAATGAATCATTTTACTGGGGGCTCTTACAGCTCTAAAAAAATCCATACATCAATTGTATCAAGCACATTTGTACATATGTTCCCATCATCATTTTCAAAACATTTTATTTCTATTTGAGCCCTTGGTATCAGCTCCTCTGTTCCCCTTCCCACGCCCACTCTCTCACCCTCATGACCCCTTGATAAATTATAAATTATTACTATTTTCATATCTTAACACCATTTGCTGTCTCCCTTCACCCACGTTTCTGTTGTTTGTGCCCCTCAGGGTGTCAGGGAAGGGGTTATACATTGATCATTGTGATCAGTTCCCTCTTTCTCTCCCTTCTCCCCTTCCCTTCCCCATACCCTCATGGTATCGCTACTCACACACACAAAAATTTTTAATAAATAAAAAGTTCACCAAACCTCTGATTTCCCTTTATCTCCATCAGAGACCATGTAAAGTATTAAAATCCTAACTCCAATGTCAGAAAGACCTGCATGCAAATCCCAGGTTTTCTGCTTAACAGACATATGTCTTCTGGGAATTACTGTGGCATTTTTCTGAGTCTTGGTTATTGCATTTAGAAATTAGAGATTTCATAGTGAGTATTGAATTATATCTAGAAAAATAATCCACTATCATTGAGGCAATTCTAACTCCTACAGACTCTATCTCCTAGAGTCTAGCTTTTCTCCAGGGTTTTTCCCTCTCACACACACACACACACACACCCCTAAACTCACTGCCATGAAATTGATTCTTGCTCAGAGAGACTCTATAGGACAGACTAGAACTGCACCCTTGGATTTTTGAATCTTTAACTCTTTAAGGAAGCAGGTAGGCTCATCTTTCTTTCTCAGAGTAGCCGGTGGGTTTAAACCTCTGACCTTGTGGTTAGCAATTCAGTGTTTTGTCCACTATACTTCAAGGACTCCTTCAAAGGGTTTCAGAGGCTGTAAATCTTCATCAGAACAGACTGCTTCATCTTTCTCCCACAGACCAGCTGGTGGTTTGAACAGTCAACCTTTTGATTAGCTGCCCAACACTTAATCTACGGCACCACCAGGACTCCTAAGTAGTCTCTCCAAAGTCTCTAATATGAGGGTTGGTAACCAGTAGGGATTAGCTATTGTAATTTTAGGATGAATATAAGCAGTCCCATTTTAAGGATGAGTAGTTTGAGGCTTAGGAAAATCATGACTCATTCAAGCCTGTGATTTACAACTTGAGGTTCTTGCTACCTTGTAAAAGCTGTAGAAAGGCTGTTGATTAGTGGCTCTGCGTCCAAAGATACTTACCTGCCAAAGGTCCAGCCCGAGAACACTGATGTTATAGTAGTGACAAATGGTGGGGTCAGGCTTATATTTGGGGTTGTCTATTTCAGGATGAATCCACTCCCCTTGGTAATTAGGATTGTCAATGATCCGAGGCTTCCATTGTCCCTAAGCAAAGAACCAAAGAGTAAACGTGGCATTCATATTTTTCTATGTTACTTAGTTTCACACAGTCAGCTAGGTGATCGGTTGTTAAAGATAACTGTGAAGATCCGTGGAGATTCCTTCCCCTTCCTTGGGCTGGTGGACAAGACCCTGCTAAGTTCCCTTTCAACCGAGGGAGAGCTGGGCAAAAGCCACTCGGACTCTGGCCCCGTTCTCTGCCGAAGCTCATTCATGAAGGTAAGCTGTGGCTTCACAGAGACTGACTATCCTCTGGGAGCCCTGGAACTTGGAGTCGTTCTCTTCCAGTTTCGCAGCACAGAAAACTGCGGCCAAATAAAACTGTGCTTGCTTCCGTCTGCTTTCTTCACTCTGGACCATTTAGTCCTTTATTTCCCCTCTGGGCTTAACACGAAGGAGGAGTCTCCCTTAAAAGGAAGTCCTCCCTACCTCCTGACACGATTGGCCCATTCCCATCCCACCCCTCCAGCTTCTGGATCACTCCTGAGACTTCTATTTGACCTCTGACCTCTGACCTAGTTCCTGTTTTGATGGAGTTCCTTTCACTGGCTGCTTTCCACCACTCCCAACAAACCAGAGCTGCCTGGACCTCTCCTTCCCACAATTCGCCTTTACCAGTTTGCCCTTCCCCATCCAGGCCTGGCTCTGAGAGCAAGGAGGCGACACTTTCACGAGAGGTGGTGGGTGGGAAGAGGAGGGGATCACAGCCTCTCAGAGTTTCTGATTTTCAAATTACGAATCCCACCCTTTCTCTCTTATTTCCCACACCCATTTGAAAGACTCCTCACCTGATACTTCGGATTTGGTATCAGGGGCCCTTCCCACTCCCCATCCATCGCCTCATTCCAATCATCTGGCTTCTCAGCTGCTGGGTCTGGGATGTACTCCGAGTCCTCCCAGTCCTAAAATGAAATATTCTCCTATGAAGACAGATGCATCAAACTCCAGTGAACCTGGAGTTCCAGAGTGCAATCAGGTTGCTCCTGGATCCTTATCTCCGCCCCACTCCTGTCCTCCCTGCATGAAGGGCCAGCTCAGGCTTCTGCAAACAAACCCAGTGTAGGAATGATGAAAGCCTGTAGGCAATTCTGAATCCTCTGAGTTTACCATCACTCTGAATTTGAGTATTTTAAGCTAAGTGAGATTAGGTTTCCTCTTGCCTCTGACCCTGCTCCCTCAATTTTGTGCCCCTACTGTCATAGACCCCAGGAGCCCTAGTGGCATAGTGTTTATAGATGGGGCTGCTAACTGCAAAGCCAGCAGTTCAAAATCACCAGCAGCTCTGAGGGAGACAGGAGAGGCTTTCTCTTCCCATAAAGAGTTACAGTCTCAGAAACCCACAGGGGCAGTTCCACCTTGGGTCACTATGAGTTGTAATTGACTCAATGGCAGTGAGTAAGGTTTTGTTTAATGGTCATAACAGCTTGTCTTTCTTCTCCTGAAGGCCTCTCTCCAGTCCTTGTACTCCAGGATGCTCCCAAATCTAGATCAGTCTTTGTAGTTCAGCCAAACCTGATTCCAACTTATAAGGACCAGGTAGGACAGTAGAACTGCTTCATAAGGCTTCCAAGGTTAAGATCTATTAATTCTTTCTAGAGACATTTATTAATTCATCTTAGTTATAAATGAACTACAGAAGCAAGAAAAAAGACTATGACTTGGATATGTATACTACTGCATATTAGAAAAACTTACAAGATTGGTTCACAGTTCTCTGACCACTTTGGTCAGGGTTTGACTCATAACCTGTGACTTAGTACTTTAAGATCCATCAGGAGCATGCCCAGACAAGTTTCTTAGGGTCAGACTGCCTCTGCGGTCTGACCAGAGAATCACAGCAAAGACACTCCTTCGGACAATGGCACTCAAAATGGGTTTAGAGTTCCCACTACAAACCATAGTCTTCTGCAATCCCATTGCTCAGAACTTAAGCTCTAATACATCCCCTCCTCTGATCATAGATTTTATTAAAAGTCCTTTTACCACACTTAGATTTTTTCCCCCCCTCTTCTGCACAGACTAGTTCTGGGCTCCTTTAGATGACAGCTTGTTTTAGGACAAGTCTTTAAACCCTAGACTCTAATCAAGCACATTCTGATTCCCTCATTGCATCTTACTATAGCACTCAAATCTTCAGTGATAGCCTCCCGAGGGTAAGTAATGAGTGTAATAACTACGTGTTCTTTGATCAGGTTTTGTGTCTTAAGATGTGAGTTCAAAAACCATTCACAGAACACATCTTGTTTATATATCTATGGTTCACTTCAGAGGGAGCATATTAACTTCCTGCTAAAACACATTATAAGTGATCTCCATATAATATTTGATAGTTTAATAATGACATTATTATTAATCTAAGGTTACACATTTTAATGGAAGCAAATTGCCACATCCTTACCCCCCTAAGGCAGTGGTAGGTTTAAACCATCAATCTTGCATTTAGCAGCCAAATGCTTAACCACTGTGCCACAAGGGCCACTGTACTATAAGACCCTCCTATTTCCTAAGAGAGCGCCAAGTCACAAACAGGCTACTCCAGCATCCCCATTTCTTCTACTGTGGTGCTTCCAAGGCTTTGCTCAGTCTGCTTGGCAGTTCACCTGGGTGCTATTTTCTCAGATTGACTGAGGGCTTACTTCCAAGCCCAGTCCACCAGATTCACAATGACTCAGCGTCTTTTCGGACTGGGGCAGTTTCCTGGTTTGTAGCCAGGGCCCACTGCTTTTTGGATTTCGGAGGCAGACAGCCAGCATCCTATCCCTGGGGCTATAGGCTGGCTAGAACTCCACTTCTGCCGAGAGTTTCCACCTTCCCAGGTCCATTCAGCAGAGCCTGCAGTCTCTCTGCTCTCCCCTGGGCCCAAAAGTAACCAGGAAGAAATCTGGTTCCTGCTCCACACAATCCCTGCCTGCTTCTCAGACAAGCATCCTCTGACCTTTGGTTTCTTGTCTTCTGGATCCTCTATTTGTAGTCGTTCATCCCATTTCCTTGGTTTCCGGGCGTAGGGGTCCTTTATCTTCCTGGGGGGCAAGAAAGCCCAGTCTTCTTCCAGCCCCCCAGCTGCCACTTGCTGGTTATCGATTTTGACCTCATAAGTAGCATTGGGGCGAATAATCAGAGTATATAGGTGAGTGTCTTTATTAATCTATAAAGCGAAAAGGGGGAGGGGGATATCTCAGTCTTGTGTTGCACACATTTAGAACTCAAGCATTAAAGTCATCATCTAAAAGCAAACCCTCAGTTCCCCGAATGCCACCCCCGTCTGTTCACAGACACACTTCATCACCTTATTCTACACCTTATTAACCCTCAGGTGACTCTGAGCCTCATTCTCCTACTGTAGACTCAGAGGACTCTTCCGTGATTCTCGCCACTGGGTGAGTGGCCTCCTCAGATTTCCTTTAGCTCTCAACTCACATGTGTTGAGGCTCTCCTATTTCCCCCTCTGCTGTAGCTCTGATCCTGCTATAGATCCATTTCTTTGTCTATCCCACTAGACTTTGGGGTCTTCAAGGGCCGAGTCATGTTTGAATCATCTGCTGTGTCAGCACCTTCCAGCATGAGGCCTATCCCAAAGTAACGCCCTTGGGAGAGCCTGCCTAAGCCCCTGTACAATCTGGTAGGAAAGCCCTACACAGTACTCCAATGACCCTGTCCCCATTGGCTTCTCTAGACTCATTTCCTGCCTCTCCCTGGCCCTCTATCTGGGCAAAACCTCTCACAGTGACACTCATTTTCATGGTTCCCTAAGTTTTCTCATGCTATTGGATCTTCCCCCAAATTGTCCCAACACTCCATTAGATCCAATCAAACTAATCTTTCAAAAATCAGTGCAGGGGAGCACTCCAGATTGAGTAAGGGGCCTCCTCTGTGCTCTCACAGACCCTGATCATCCTGGGTCATCACTCTACTTTGCTTGACTGTGACCTTCACTGGACTGTAGGTTCTATGGGGCAGAGGCCATACAGACTCATTCAACCTTCAGCCTAAGGCACAACACAGAGTTGGTACTCCGGAAGTGCCTGTGGAGGTGCTGATGAAATCCAGCTATTATCCTGCAGCAGACCTCGGCCTCTCTGGCTTGATGTGATTACGTAAGTAAACCCTCCCCTGGCTCCTAAGCCCAAAATCCTCACAACTGAACCAATGGGAAACATCGTGATAAATGGAGAAAAGATGAAAGTTGTCAAGAATTTCATCTTGCTTGGGTCCACAATCAATGCTCATGAAAGCAGCAGTCAAGAGAGCAAATGACACATTGCATTGGGTAAATCTGCTGCACGAGACCTCTTTAAAGTGTTCAACAGCAAGGATGTTACTTTGAGGACTAAGGTGCGCCTGCCCCAAGCCATGGTATTTTCCATTGCCCCCTATGCATGTGAATGTTGGACACTGAGGAAAGAAGATGGAAGATGAGTCGATGCATTTGAATTGTGGAGCTAGTGAAGATTATTGAAAGTATAGCCGGGGTGCTCCTTAGAGGGGATGATGGCGAGACTTTGTCCCAAGTATTTGGACATGTTTTTGGGAGAGATTCATCCCTAGAAAAGGACATCATGCTTCTTAAAGTAGAGGGGCAGCGACAAAGAGAGAGGTGCTTAACGAGATGGATTGACAGAGAGGCTACAACAGCGGGCTCGATCCTGAGAACAATTGTGAAGCTAGTGCAGGACTGAGCAGTGCTTTGTTCTATTGTACACAGGGTAGCTGTGAGCCAGAGCTGACCAACGGCACCTAACAACACTTCTTAGCCCGCACTCCTCTCTTCAAATCTAGCAATGGGAACTGGTCGGCATCATCTAAGCATTGCTCCAAAAGATGATTCCATAGAGCTTGGTAGGCTTTGGGAATCAGGCTGTTCTCTGTGAACTCTTGCAGTTTACAGCATTTCTCCAGATCTACTACCTAAGGATTCAATAAAATAACAAATATAAAATGCTTATCCTTCCCCTAAGCGTAGGACTAGCCTACATACTTACCGGGCACTTGATGGTTTTGTTGTTCTCATGGTATTTCCCTTGATAATGAAAGATGACCTGCACCTTGTTGTTGCGGAAGCCGCAGATGTCAGGGCCTGGAAATTAAGGCCCAATGAATGATGTCACATAGCTTTTAGGCAGTTTGTCTATGTCAAGGCCAAGACCCAAGGCAGACATAGTCTATGTATCAATCAGGGTCCTAACAGGAAATAGATGACATCTTCAAATTTAGGATTATTTGAGTGAAATCTTTTTAAAGGGACTACATACAAAGGTATGCACAGAACACCGAGAAAAGTTAAGGAGCAGAGATGTGCTCAGGGCTGGCAACAACTGGGATATTACTATCCCTAGCCTTTAAAGCAACGGTTCTCAACCTGCGGGTCACAACTGCGACACCTTTGGCAGTCGAACGACTCTTTCACTGGGGCCGCCCAATTAATAGCCGTAGCAAAATTACAGTTATGAAGTAGCAACGAAAATAATTTCATGGTTGGGGGTCACAACAGCATGAGGAACTGTATTAAAGAGTTGAGAACCACTGCTTTAAAGAGTAAGGAGTCACCAAGTTTTCTAGAACCACAAAGAAAATCAGAGCCCTATAGAAAAAGCAGCCAGGAGAGAAGCTGTGATTTTCAGTAGAAGACACACCTGGGAGAAGAAATACCTCAACTTCCATCTCTTTTTCTGATTTCCTGCTAGGGTTCCCTGCTGATGGAACTCAACAATGAGCCCTGCCCGCGCAGGACTGATCCTGCACATCATCTCCAGAATGGGTGTACTGGGAACTTCACAAGTAGACTACCGTCATTTTTTCTCCTCTCTCATGCCTTTATCTTATCTTCTGGCTTAATGTCCTCTTTTTTGTTTGTTTGAAATGAACTTGTATGTCACAGAAGAAGCCAAGTTCATTTCAGCTTTGCTTTTCTCCTTTTTTTTTTTAAAAAACATTTTATTAGGGGCTCATACAACTGTTATCGCAATCCATACACACATCAATTGTGTAAAGCGCATTTGTACATCGTTTCTCAAAACATTTTCTCTCCATTTAAACCCCCGACATTAGGTCCTCATTTTTCCCCTCCCTCCCCGCTCCCCGGACCTCCCTCATGAGCCCTTGATAGTTTATAAATGGGTATTTTGTCATATTTTGCCCTGTCCGACGTCTCCCTTCACCCACTTGTCGGTTGTCTGTCCCCCAGGGAGGAGGTCACATATAGTTCCTTGTAATTGGTTGCTTTTCTCCTTTTATAACCACTCACACCAATGTTTCCACCCGATGGGAAAGGAGCCTATAGGTTTTTTATGACTCGGACCCGGCTCTCTCTCTCCATCCCTCCCTCCCTTCCTTTTCTTTAAATTTTAACTTTATTTAATATTTTTGTTTATACATATATATTTTCTCCCCTTTTGTTTATGGAATATCAGACAGCTGCACCGCCCATCTCATCAAATCAGTAGCAGTATCCCATTAGACCCTTCAGATATGTGGTTCTTTTTTGTTCTTCTTTTTTTTTTTTTTTCAACCTCCTTACCTCCATAGTTTTCATTTACTTTACCACCGCCTCCTCCCCCCACCCGCACACCTTATCATAGTCGTTTATTATTATTATTGTTTCTTTAAAAAATAATTTTATTGGGTGTCATAGTCTTTAAAGTCTTATTCTTTGTTGCAAAAACCATTTTAAAAAAATGTTCCTTCATAATGATGGTCCCATACAATATTTATCTTTATGAGTTTGACAAACTTTGCTAAGCACAACGTTCTATAATTTTGTCTGTCTTAAAGTGTTTCACAGACTCATCATTGTTTTTTAAGGATGCATAATATTCCATTGTATGAATGTACCAGTTTGTTTATTCATTCCTCTAAAATTGAAGTTTTTTATTGTTTCCATCTTTTTGTTGTTGCTGTTTCCATCTTTTTGCTATTAAAGAAATTGCTGCAGCAAACATAAGTGTGCATGTCTGTTTGTGGTTTGTTCTTTATTTCTTTATTTTTACCAAGTAGCGAGATTGCAGGATCATACGGTACTTGTATTTGCATTTGTTTAAGGAAGAGTCATACTGATTTCTATAGTGGTTGTATAGTTCTACAGTCCTACCACCAATGTGTGAGCATTCCAATCTCTCCACATCCTCTCCAGTATTTGTTCTTTTCTGGTTTTTTGTTTTTGCTAAGAATGGACTCCTCTTTCTTGAGAACAGAGCACAATCACTAGCTTTTCCCTTATCCTTCGACCTCTATATTGTCTTTACGCACTATTCTAAGTCTAGTAGATTTTATAGCCACAAATAATGGAAAAATTCACGTGAGATACAGTAGAGATGATGACACCTCCCTTGTCCACTTTAAGTATCAAATAAATAATAGTCATGTGAAAAATGTTACAGTCGAGGAGCTGATGCCAGGGGCTTAAGTGGAGAGCAAATGTTTTGAGAATGATGAGGGCAATGAATGTACAAATGTGCTTTACACAATTGATGTATGTATGGATTGTGATAGGGTTGTATGAGCCTCTAATAAAATGATAAAAAGAAAAATTTTACAATCACATTTTTAAAATTGTTTCCAATTCTCCTACCGCCACTGGAGCCCTGGTGACATAGGGTTATGCATTGGGCTGCTAACTACAAGGTTAGTAGTTTGAAATCACCAGCCATTCAGAGGGAGAAAGATAAGGCTTTCTACTTCTGTAAACAGTTACAGTCTTGGAAACTCTACTTGAGAACAGAGCACAATCTGAAAGGGCAGTTCTACTTTGTCTTTTAGGGTCTTTTTGAGTAGAAATCAACTCATTGGCAGTGAGTTTCTACCACCACTGCTATTACTACACACACACACACACACACACACACACACATTTTCCCCTCCTGGACAGTGCAAAGGCACTTTAACTTGTGCCCCGTAGGTTAACCTCCTAAAAAGGAGTACTTATTACACAATTCCAAAACCCCAAACCTTGATAGGCTTGATAGGTGAATTGTTGAATACAAAATTGATTATCTGAAATGTAGACTTCTACCTAACACACACACACACACTCCTTCTGAGAAGGGTGAATTCTGAAGAAAATGGAGCTAAAGAAAGAGAAGAAGCACACCAACATCCCTGACCCAAGGATTGTAAATCATACAATCCAAAACCAAAGGAGAGAATAGTATCAGAGCTTGAACTGTGAGATTCTAGTTTGCAGAAGGCTATGGATGACAGTGGGGACCCAAGATACATCTGTGAAATCTACACAGGAAATAAGCCTCCAATGATTTCCCTCTCATGGAGAGATGGTTATAGGAGATCAAAATGATACACCTGACTTGAACAGTTAAAACCTTGTCACTTGATCCTCCCTCTGACACATGTTAGGCCTGATCTGGTTTTCAACATTTTCTGCTCTTTTGATTTTTGTTTTCCCTATTGGGGTTTATCTGAGAGGTATTTTGTCATTAGGGGGGTGTCCTTCTTGCATTTTTGTTAAATGTTTTCCTATACTGAAAAATAGGAAAACATGATGGAAGACCCTATAGAGACAACAAGTAGAACAAGGGCTCCTGGGAGGTACCATAGAAGAGGAGGGTGAGGAGGAGCTGATGTCCTGGAGTTCAAGAAGGAAGACAATGTGGAAACTGATTGTGGTAACAATTGTACAATACTGCTTGATGTCATTGAACCATGGAATCCTATGGTTTCTGTATTCGCTTCTGGTTCAGGGGGTGGGCAGAGAGATTGAAAGAGAAGATTCGGGTTGGGGGAGGAGAAGCTGAAGACAGGACAAGAGGGAGAATGGTTGAAGAAGAAGTTGTTGCAAGAGTTTGAAGGGAGAGCTGTAACCCCCTTGGGCAAAGAAAGAAATGTTTAGAGAGAACTGAGGAGTTTTGCGGTATGCTATGTAACCCTTTCCTCTGAGTTTGTGAAAAAGCATTCGGTAAACTCTACATTCTTCATCAGTGCTTTGTGTGTTAGATTTGTTATTGTTGCTGTGTTGAGTTTTAATTTTTTAATAATCTATTTTTGTTGTTATTGATAATACACAGCAAAAACAGATGGCAGGTCAAATTTTGACATGTCCAATTCAGTGGCACTGATGACATTCTTTGAGTTGTGTAATCATTCTCACCCTCCTTCTCTTGAGCTGTTCTTCCCTCATTAATGTAACCTCGCTGCCTCCTAAAGTTCCTAACCTTTCCTGTTGCTGTTGTTTAATCTTTCTGATTGCTATTGTCAACTCGATCCCCCTTGTTTATATTTTTAAAAAATATAATAGTGAAAGTGGATTCAAGGTGGGCACTCACAAAGAGCTAGACAACCCCAAGGAGTCCTAGTTATGGATTATAGGTCAAAATTCTAGATTATATACGACGAGTACTTTGCAAGGGTGGCATAGTGGTTTCATGTTGGGCTGTGATCCACAGGCCAGCAGTTCGAAACTACCATCCTCTTAGTAGAAAGACGGGGCTTTCAACTCTAGTAAAGAGTTACAGGCTCAGAAGAAACTCACAGGCAGTTTTGCCCTGTCCCATAGGGTCGTTAGGGGTGAAATTGACTTGTTAGTAGTGAGCTGTCTCTTACAGTGAATCTGAAAGGGACCGCCTTTGCAACACACTGTTTTATTGAAATGGATGCTTTTGAGAGTTTACGTAGTCTATGAGCTCCTCCCTCTTTCTGGCATGTTGACTCTCTGTCGCCCTCACTGGTCTATTTGTATGATTAGTCTTAGCCTTTAGGTTTAGAGTCCTTTCTTTCTGGTCTTTGAAGGGTCTTGCTCTGGGTGAGTGTGGTGGGCACGGGTTGGCGTAAGGGAGTGGGTGGAGTTAGGGGGGTCATTCTCATGGTAGAAAATTTCTGTTCCAAGTCAATCTAAACCTTTTCTACCACAGTAGTGACTCTCATTAAGACTTCCTGAAGCCCCCAGAAGCTTCTATCAAACAACTTACCAAACATGATATAATACTTGGACTCTGAATGCATAGCCTCTTGGTTCAGGGTGTCAGGGAACAGTTTCACATATCCACCACCACAATCGATGCCTTGTTCATGTTTTACTGAAAACTGAATCACCAAGGTCTCATTTGTATTGCTGAATGGCTTAAACCTGGTAGAGAGGGCGTAGAACTTGCCATCTTCACTGGTCTGGAGACCTAGGAGCAGAGAACACAGTCTTAAGGTTTCAATGAACAAAGAGCAGCAAGGGAGACCTAGCTCCTGACCTAACCCATCTCTGGTACTTTCTTGCACACCTGCTGTGTGCTGCGTTGTGCTGGATAAGTCTCTCATTCAAGCTTTAGAAAGATGCTTCAAAATGGATATTCTCCCCACTTTACAAAGTAATATCTGGATCACAGGGAGGCAAGTGACCCACTCAGGGCCAAACAGCTAGTAAGAAACAAAACTGGAATTTTAAGCTTCATTTAACAGCTTCTTTCTGTCCTACACGCACACCCTCTCTCCCCCTATACCACGTTGCCTCTAAGAAGTTCTTGAATACTATTTTGCAGCCTGACAAAAACAAGTCCCCTTTCTTCTGAGGTCCGTGAGTGGCCAGAAGTAGGCTCTGTGTACACCAGTGCCGTGGTAGGAAGAAGCCCGGCTCCTCCTCTCCCGACAATCGTAATCACTGTTAACCTTGACTCAGTCTAGACCCTTCCTCACACGAAGTGCTTCATTCACATGTACTCTCTTCATCCTCCTCAGAAGACAATTGCAGAAAGTCTTCCACTCTCCCGCCTGGAGAATTTTTATTTCAGCTTTCTATTGTGATTTGGGTGAAAGTTAACAGAGCAAATTCGTCTTCCATTCAACAAGTCACACATATCTTGTTGGGTGGCATTGGCAATCCCCACAGTGCAACAGAAACCTTCCCGCTTCCTGTCTTTCCTGTTTTCATCCGTCCTTTTTTCTAGTCCCTCCCTGCCTTCTGAGCTTCGTTGCTGGGCAAATGCCAGTCTCTTGTGGCTGATTGTTCTAAGACGTGTATGCCTCCCTGCCTTTATTGTGCACCTGAAGCCTCTCTCTGTGGTTTCGCAAAAAGTTGACCCACAGGGTTGAGTTCAGTTCCAGGCTTGAAAGGTGTCAAAGGGTCATGATCTTGGGAGTCACACTAATCTCTATCACACCGGGAAGCCTATTTTTGTGTTATTTTGTTTGTAAAGGTTTTTGAGCTTGGTTTCACATTTTTCTCCCATTTTCTCCCTGACCTTCAGTCCCAAAGGTCGGCAGTGACAGCCAGACACCATCTAATCTTTCTGCTCTCGCGGCAGCAGAAGCGAACGAAGCTCCCCGGGGTCCATCGGTCCTTTGCCGATTTGTTTCCAGGGGTCTTGGGGCTCTTCACTCTTCTCCTATGAGATTGCAAATGCTTTCCAGGCCGATCTTCATGCTCTCCTTTAATAAGGGTGAAGATGAAGTTCATAACCGTGGCCAGGAGGGAGAAGATGAGAAATCACTCCAGGGGAGGATCAATGGATTCTATTTATAGGACAAAAACCCCGGCCTGCAGGCCTGTCTTTAGACATCGCCCTTCTTCTGCAGCACTATTTGCCTCTTACCACCGCTCGAATGAGCACTGCGGGTGAGGATTATTATCTCCATGTTCTCCACACCGAAAAGTAAATTGACTGGACCAAATTGGGTAGCTGGGAGTTACCTTTAGGTATGCCTTCTCCATGCTGCACTGCACCCAGGTGCTTTAGGGAGGAGCAACATCGAGAAGTTGTGCAGTATTTCCCCACATTTCAAGAGCAAATCGTTGTTTGACAAATACTAAGATCACAACTGAGGAATTCCTATGGGGCACGTCTATGCTGTCCCGTCGGACCACAGTCAGAATGGACAAAGAGCACACGACGACGACAATACCAAAGACAAAGAGAGTGAGGTGGTCAGTGATGACTAACCCGGTGCTGGAGTCAGAACTGCAATCCGAGTCAGTCCTGCATCTTTCCAGCTGCATCTGCAGTCTTGGGGAAATCACTTCACCTCTCTAAAACCAATCTGCCAAGCTGGGAACCTCTCGTAACCACCTCGTAAGGCTGCTAGGAGCACCACTGGAAATCGTGCAAGCAGTAAGGGTGTGGTTGTGAACGCCTGCTGTTTAAAGAGAGTCATTATTATGTTGTTGCGAGCTCGCTCTTCTCCATCGATTCCACACGCCTATATCTTAAGAGAAAGCGCTGGATTGGTAATCACATACAAAAGAACATTTCAGTCAGTTAGTATGTTCCTGAGTTCCAGTATTTACCTTTATCTTTTTCTTTGTCACCATAAAATTTTCCTGCAGAGAGCCGAAATTTACCATAATCAGGACCATGTTTAGATTTCACCCATCTGTTTTTCCATCCATCTATGGGGTAGAGGAGAAAAAAAGAAAAACATATAAATTTATTTTCTTAAACATAATGAAATGCAGCTGAGGATGACCAAACTTTACGGGGGGGGGGGGGGTGAACAAGGAAATATCAGGATTGGCTTGAATATTTTTGAAATCCCCTTCACTGCCTGATACCTGAATCCTATCATTCATACACTATCATGCTGATGCTACACCCTCCCTCCGGCATGAGCGTTAAGTCCTGAAAATCCCTTGGGAATGTATAGCTGAAAAGCATGAGACATTTATTTTCATAAAAGTAGATGGAAAAGTCCTGTTGGGGAAATAAATCCTCACACAAACTTATATATTTATTAAAATAAAATAATATAATCAGCTCACCAAATAAGGAGACTAGCAATACCATTTTATACTTCTTGAATTAGTAATGATGATGAGGTTCAATCAATTTCCACTTACCCTTTTTCAATCGCTTAAACTTTTTAGACTCTCCCTTGCACTTTCAAGGAGATGCTGATAAATTTGTTTTGCTTTAGCAAAGATGGCATTTCGACAAAGAGGCATTCTTTTGGGGACTTGGCATTCCATCTAAACCTTCAGTGCCTTCCTGATTTCATGCTTCAGAGTTGCTGACTCCCGCTTCCTGAGCCCAACATGATCTCAAAGCCACAGAGAAATTTGGCAGCATAAGATTAAAAGAAGTCTTGGGGGTAACTTTATTTCATCTCCTTCTTGCAGCTGAATGGGTATTTCTCAAACCCTCTCCCCAGTATTTTGAGTTATGTCCTTAGCTAAGACCGCAAAAAACCCACATCAAAACATATCTGAGGAGGCCACTCTCAGCTGGCTCTGTTAGTTCCTGTTACACAGGTATGACAGCCCAACTAGTTACCGTCATGAGACCCAGGAGGCTGGACTGGCTTTCCATGTATGCGCTTCCTCTCCCGCGCTGAAGGTTTCACTCTGAGGCCAGGTCATCTCAGTGTCCACTTGACCCAGCGTTCCATCCTGTGAAAAGTGTTTCAGGAAGCTCCTTCTGTCTAAATAAGTGAACCCTTCTTCCCTGGCCATAGTCGATGAAACGAAACTGAAGGATTGATACCCAAGTCAAAAGACCGGAAACCAAGTGCTAGGTCCTGCGTTTGGCTCACTAAAGGCTTCACCACATTGCTCCCAGGACCAATACTACAAAACAGGGCCTATTAGTTCCATTTTGCATCTAATAGTTGGAAGACCTGAGATTTGAACCCCAAACCTGTCTGATTTCAAACATTGTCTCTCCCTGGAAAAAGAGGGAGATGTAAGAGTTGGCACAATAGAGAAATAAACAAAAAGTGTATTAATAGTAATAACTCCTGTTTACCATCCATGTGTCAGGCATTATGATAAGTGTGGTTTGCATGCATTTTCTCATTACCTTCTCATACTAACTCTGTGATGAATGTCCTATTTTTTTTGTCTCCGCTAAAAAGATGTGGAAATAAAAACCCAGAAACATGTCCAAGAGGCAAGTTTGTAAGTAAGTGGGTAAGTGTAGGCCAGACAAGTCTACTATGGATGTTAACCCCTATGTTACATGGCGACACGCCCCAGTTGTGCAGAGTGGTTAAGCTAACTAAGTGGTCTCTGTCCACAGGAGAAAGGTGAGGCAGTCCGCTTCCATAAAGACGACAGCCTTGGACGCCTGTGGGGCATCTCTCCTCTGTCCAGTAGGTTTACTGACGGGTTCAGCTTCACAGCAATGGGCTTGGTTATACAATATGATTTATCATGAAGTTACTCAGGAGAAAAAAAATCCTTGTAATCTAAGAAGTGTGCAGAAAACATAGACTCCACTCACAGTACTTTGCAGTTTGTCACTCATACAACTATTTGTGTAGCATCTGAGTCATGTTTGTCTTCTCTACCAGACTGGTAAGTTCCATGATGATTTTGCTGGTCATTGTGTCCTGGGGTCTAGCACAGAGGCCAGCACAAAGTAAAACCAGAAAATATTTGTTGAATGACAGACAGAATGAATGCAAGGTCATGCCTTTTTTCTAAGCAATAAGATTGGCAGCCTTGCAAATGGATATAGTTATTCATTCATTTGGAAAATCTTAATTGAACCTAGCAAACGCATTCAACTTCAACTTTGAACTTTACAGTAAGAAAGGTTAGCGCAGCATTTGAAAGCTATCATCCTTATTTTTCACCGTGAGAAGTATTGACACAATCTCAAGCCTGACAGAATTAGTTCAGTTATTGGTGAGTCAATTTGGACTTGTGCCATTGCTATCTGTGTCAGAACTGTGCTCCTGTAAGGTTTTCAATAGGTGAATTTTTGTGGGAGTGAAAGTAAATCAACAGGCCTTTCTCTGAAGTGCCTCTGGGTAGACTCAACTCTCCAACCTTTCAGAGAACAGACAAGCATGTTAACCAACTATACCATGCAGGGACTCCTGACCCAATTTACGATGTTTCACATTGTAATTAAGGAGCCACTCTTGTTAAGAGAACAAGGTCAAGTGATTGACAAAGTTTCACTTTAGGACTTCAGATTTTTCCTGCTCCCACTGTAAAAATTTCGAAAATTTCAAGTCAGAATGACCCCTCAAAAGGCAAACAAACAAAACTCACAGCCATTGAATCAATGTGGACTCATAGTAATCCAATAGGACACAGGAGAACTCCCTCTCCAGATTTCCGAGGCTGTAAATCATTATAGGATCAGAAAGTTCCATCTTTCTTCCACAGAACAGCTGATGGTTTTGAGCTGCTGACCTTGTGGTTAGCAGCCCAGCACTTAGCCCACTACACCATTTGTCTGGCCACCTTCTATTACATACAGGTAGGGAAAATGAAGCCCAGAGAAGAAAATGACTTGGTCATGGACAGAGCTGCCAATCGCAGTGTTGTGCCTAGAACTCAGGTCTACACGTTGTTGACTTTGAGCTCGTCGATTCCTTCATTCGGCAAACACTGCGTGAGCTTTCACTGTGTACTTGGCATCAGATGCACAGACATGAATCTTAACAAGGCCCCTGCCTTCAGGGATCTCACAGTCTGGTGGAACCAATGGACAAGTAACAACCACAATGCACTATGGTAAAAGCAGTGATAGAAGGAAGTAGAAAAACCAAAACCAAACTCACTGCCATTGAGTCGATGCCAATTCCTAGCAACCCTACAGGACAGAGTGGAACTGCCCCCGGGAGTTTCTGAGACTGTAACTGATTATGGAAATAGAAATCCTTGTCTTTCTCCTTTGGAGCAGCTGGTGGTTTCAAACTTTGGACCTTGAGGATCACAGCCCAATTAGTAATCATTACACTACCAGGGTTCCCTCAAAGGAAGCAAAGGGTGGTGAAATTCAGAAAACCCTAAACACCTTCCAGTGGCAGGACAGACTTCAAAGAAGGCATTCCTGAAAGAGCCCTGGTGGCACAGTGGTTAAGCATTCAACTGAGAAGGGAAAGGTTGATGGTTCAAACACACCAGCTACTTCATAGGAGAGCGAGGTAGCAGTGTGGGGGGAGGTCAGATGCGCAGGCATTCCCTCCCCTGAAGGCAATCCGTTGCCAGACTGCTGTCTCATCCCACCACCTGGGTGAGCCTGCTCCCTGCCTCTGGGGACAATGGACAGGCTCCTGTGGGTGGAGTTCACATCCTACTGATAATGGTCTCTACCAGTTGGGCCAGGGACAGGCCAAACCGGCTGTCCCTCCTCTTCCTATAGCGTGTATGTCCCTAGATCACCCCCTCCCATCACTGTAATACCTGTAGCACAACCCTTTCCTGTGATGTATGTCTTCACCTGTAATGTGGGGGCTTGCATGTCCCCAACGTCCCCAGAGAGTATAAAAGCTTGGGAAGCATTAAAGTTCTCTCTCTATATCCACGTGGATTACCAAGCGGGGCTGAGGTGAGCATGCTACCATGAAATGTGTCTGACTCCATTTATTTCTATATATCTCTTTTATCTCTCATGCTCTCTATAACTTTACTATAATATTTACTTATTATCGCTGTACAATTGCGCCTACCGAACCCGTAGTGATTGTACTAGGAGCTGGCTTCTTCTGGCAGTAGCAGTCTGCTCCTGTGGGGATTACAGTCTTGGAAACACTTTGGGGCAGTTCTACTTTGTCCCACAGGGTCGCTATCAGTAAGAATTGGCTCTACAGCAGGGGTTTGTTGTTGTTTTGGGGGTTTGGGAGTGTTTATTTGAAGAAGTAAGAATTAAAATTGCAGAAAGGAGAGGAGTGGGTATTCCAAACACAGTGACTTGCTTGTGTAAAGGTTCCGAGACATGAAACAGCATGATGTTTCAGAGTAACTGCAAATAGTACTGTTTTGTTTTGTTTTTCAGGGAAAGGATGGAAGAGAAGACAGAGGCCTGATCAAAGAGATCTTTTATTAATTGAGAGCAAGAGAGCACTGGCCACAGTTAGATGCTACCATCTTTTCTACACTTCTAGGAATTTTCTTTAAATGGGCCAAATGTCGATGGGCACCCAGATATACACCCAACGAAAAGTAACTGGTGGCTTGGACTTGACATAGCTAGTTGATAAATGCACACATTCATACCCGGTCCTGTAGAGACATAAAGCCATAATTCCTCTGTCAGATGAGTTTATCTCCACATCTGTACCTCCAAGTATGTCTGGCTTGTGACATAACTCAAACCAAAAGACCAAATTGGGGACTTATCTCTGTCACTAATTCAGCAGCATTTTTAACCTCTCAGAGCCTCAGTGTTTTCATCTAGAGAACAGGGTTACAAACTCATAGGGTTCCTAGGAGAATTAGACAGCATATAACACGATGCTCGCAACATTGTAGGTGCTCAGGAAATATTACTTGTCTGTGAATCTGCATGCAGGTGTAGAAGTATACAAAGATATATAACAGAAAAGCCAAAGGCTTTGAAAGTGGGAGTTGTCCCTTTCCTAGAACCTACTCCTGAGCCTGGGCAGAATAGGTCCTTTACAAAATGCTTGCTTAAGCAATAAAAATCTTATTTGCTACTCTTATTCAACCTCATCTGATTGCCTTCTGTAAAATCGAGTTTGCTGGATAAACTGAAGTTTATCTCTTTAAGTGGAAACCTTTTGCTCAACATTTCCAATGAAATTTTTTTTCCTGATCTCCTATAAAGAAAAGTGAAACTTTTCCAAAGACTTGAGATCTGTTTTCGGCTATAATGCATTACAGAGGTATGCACCTGGCCTTGAAGATCTGTCTCCATTGCCATTGCTGTTCAGCTGGAAGCACTTACTTTCCCTGTAATCAGTGTGTTTGACTCTCGCAACCCACCCAGTTCTCTCAACACCCACGGGCCTACATCCAGGCTTACCTGCCTGTCTGCTAAACTGCCGGCCACTTGCCTTTCTTTCAGCCTGCTAAAGCAAAGAGGCCATGCCTGACCAGAGACAAAGGAGTAGCTTCAACTATCTTTTCAATAGATTTCATCCACTTATTTTTCCATCCATCCGTGGATGGGTTTATTTGTTGAGGTCTTACGATGTGCTGGGCAGTAAACACAAATCCTCTCCTTCGTGACACTTTCATTTTAATTGGAGGGAAAGGTGGCAAATGTAAACAAAGCCGTGTATAAATAAACAAGAGGACAGCACGCAATAATCAGCCTATTTGGAGTACGGTTTCACGATAGACTTTCCCTACTCTGTGCAAGAGGTCTCGGTTTGATTCTGGCCAACGCTCCCCAGGCACAACACAATCAGTGGAAGTTTGCCTTTTGCTATGGTGCTACGCATAGCTACGGCACCTCCACACTAAAATGGCCTGGGTAGAAAGGTCCTGTGAACTACTTGTTAAAAACCAGCCAATGAAAAGCCAGTGGATCGCAAAGGTCCAATCAGCAGCTGATCAAGGGGATAATGCAGGGTCAGCCGAACAAAAGGCTGATTTAAAAAAATTTTTTTTTCTCTTTTATTTTATTTTTTGCCTTTTAAAATCATTTTATTGGGAGCTCTTACAGCTATCTCTTTTTAAAATAAAAAATCATTTTATTGGGACTCATACAACTCTTATCACAATCCATACATACATCAATTGTGTAAAGCACACATATACATTTGTTGCCCTCATCATTCTCAAAATTCGTTTTCCGCTTGGGTTCCTGGAATTAGCGCCTCATTTTTCTTTTCCCCTCCCCCTCATCTCCGCTCTCCTCCTTCATGAACCCTTAATAATTTATGAATTATTATTTTATCTTATCTTACACTGCCCGGCGTCTCCCTTCACCCACCCTTCTGCTGCCCATCTCCCAGAGAGGAGGTTATATGTAGATCCTTGTGATCGATTCTCCCTTTCTACCCCCTCTTCCCTCCCAGTATCACCACTCTCATTGCTGGTCATGAGG